CCGTCACTAAAAAAAATCAAAATTTATAATTTAGCGATCGAAATAACGACCGAATTTAATTCCGTCGCTAAAAATCAAAAGAATTTATTTAGTGACCGAAATAGCGACCGATTTTCTAGCGACGACTTATTTTGGTCGCTAAATCGGTCGCTATTTTGATTTTTCATAATCGGTCGCTAAATCAGTCGTTACATAGCGACTGATAAATTTTGGTCGCTAGTTTCGGTCTATTTTGCAATTTTCTAGTAGTGCTTGTTCATTCTTTTTTACTTTTATCATGCTCTCTTATCAATTGTATCCATTTTTATATCATCTTAATAACTAAACAAGATCAAAACTAAGAAATGAAACCAAGTATATGTGAGACCGACAAAGTTAAGACTCTTGTAAGATCACAATCCTTTGTCTCATTCAATGTAGCACGGGTGTCACCTAGAGCATAAGAGGCATGATGACATGATATCATCCTCACTTTCTTTTGACTTATCATTAACAGTCTATTCAGAGTTCTATTAAACTCAAGGTTGACAACTAAACGCAAGGTTTACACTCGTTGCGGAACTTAACTTGAGTTAAACAATATATGGTTGGTAAACAAGCACTAGTACATAATACACTTTTTACGTCGGCCATTTTAGGGGTTTTTACATCAGAAAAACTTCCGACGTTGAAGCGGTAGACGTAAATTTACGTCGGGGTGCGAAAACTGACGTAAATTTACGTCGAACATGCCAAGGTCCGACGTAAAAAAGTTATAAAAAAAAATTTTAAAAAAATTTGAGTGCAAGCAGAACGGGCCGTTCTGTTTGGAGAACGACCCGTTCTACTACAGATCCACCCACGCGCAAAGCATTTTCTACCTGTGAAGAAACGAGAGGGTGAAAACCCAACTCCACGCCAACATGCTATTGAAGAAAAGAACAAGTAGTAGTGAAGATGGAAAGTAGACAGGGAAAATGAAATGAAAAATACATACAAAAGGGAACTTGTACATGGGAAAAGGAAACGTGACCTTTCTCTTGTTGTCGTGCATCTACAATGTTGGTGTGTATGAAGAAAAAAGCACCTCTCTTCCACAGCTTTCGAAGGCTTGAAGCCCTGTTTCAGCGGAGAGCATCTGGCACCTCTACCCAGTTAATCCCAAAGGAAGATTCTGTGAGAGAGCTACCGAAATGGCTCAATTTAAAACCTACCGAAATGGTTCTTTAAGCGGGAAAATTTGGAGAACATTTTTTACGTCGGGTGCAGTAAACTCCGACGTAAAATTTAATATTTATGTTGGTCATTAAATACGTCTGACGTAGATTTTACATTTTACGTAGGACCCTATTAAGTCTGACGTAAAAAAGTTCACAAAATTTACAAAAATGTCACCGCGTCCTTTCTACGTCATTTTTTGTTTTGACCGACGTAAAAATAGTGACGTAAAAGACTATTTTTCTACTAGTGAAGGATCAATATTATCTCGAAAAGAGACTCGGTGAAATAGAAATGTATGTGGAGATGTAATTGTCTACACGTGGACAGAAAGGTCATACAAAGTTTCGTTATTTCTTAAGATTGACGTTGGACTTTTTTGATGTGCAACTTAAGTGGAGAGCAATGAAGGTTTCCTCCTGGAGGACTAGAGCCAAAATGATGTATATTAAAGTGAAAGAAAGAAAAAAAATTAAAAGGTGAAGAAAAAAAGTGATAAATGTGATAATGAGATGAGAAAGAGAAAGAGAAAAAGCAAATGTGATAATGAGATGAAAAAGGAAGAGAAAGAGAAAAAACAAATGTGATAAAAATAAGATTAAAAAAGTAAGTAATATATAGGGGTGTAAGCGGGTACGGGTAACCCATGAATCCGAATTGACCCAAATTAACCCAATGAATTCGGATTGTATTTTTCAGTGTTCGGGTCAGACCCAACCTAACTAGATCAAAACCTGATACTATACGAGTCGGGTAATGGGTTTTGTGTTTTAAACTTGTTACCAATCTGACCCAATCTGGTCATATATAATAATAGTTTAAATATGTTTTTAGTCCCTCAAATTTAAAATTGATGTTTTTAGTCTTTGTAATTTCAAAAAATCTTATTTTAATCCTTATATTCAAATTTTGTTAAAAAATTTATTAAATATTATTGCATAAAATCTATATATTGGTGTCAATGTTAGTAAAAATATCACATTAAATCCAATTAATATTGCATAACCATCTTAATTTGTTACTTTCAGATGTGTTAATAGTGATCTGACTTCTAAGGGACTAAAATAAGATTTTTGAAAATTACAGGGATTAAAAACAATGATTTTGAAATTTGAGGGACCAAAAATAAATTAATATTAAATTTGAGGGACTAAAAATATATTTAAACCTATAATAATAATAATAATAATAATAATAATAATAATGTTTGAATAATTATTTGCTCAAGACAATACTCACTATGACTCTTACTTAGTAACAAGTTTTGTGTTTTAAGTTGATAGTATTGTAACAATATAATATATTTTATTTTAAATTTTATTTTGTATTAATTAATGTTATTTTTTTTAGTTGATAATAATGTAACAAATTAATAAATTTATTTTAGAATTTAATTTGTATCATTGTTTGCTCTATAAGTTAATAACATTGAATTTGCAAATAATTTACATTTATTTTAAAATATTTAAATTTTAATAAATAAATAAATATAATTATGTTGATCCGATTAACCCGACCCAACCCGTTCGTGATTGAGTTGGGTTGGATTGGATTTTTAAAAAAAAGTTACACAAATATAATACAACCCAACTCATTAAATTTTGATTGGATCAGACAACACGTTTATCCAAACCTAATTCAATCCAACCCACTTAGAACTTACACTCGTGTAATATATGTATAATACCAAATTTAAGTGAATAGAACTACAATAAATTTTGATTCTAGCATTAGCTAACAGTTGGTACGAACAAATTTCACTCTAATTGAGACAAAAAATAATGTGAAAATATCACTTATAAAAAAATTATTGATTTTAAAATTAAAAATATATAAAATATCATTGAACAGAAATCGTCCTTCATGAGAAATTCGTGGAACTGTTTTCTAACTAACGAACAACATTTTCTTTTGGTAAAGTGAAATATATAGATCATCAACAAAAGTTTAGAATCGTGTTTGCCTTCAAGCATCGTACATCACATCTGTTATTAACTCCATGTCATCATTTCTAAAATTAAATAATTAATTACCTCAAATATTGAGATACAAACAAATTCTACATCGATAAAATAAGAGAGAGGTCTTTTGGGTGATGACCAAAAGCAAAATCGTGAGAGCTTAGGCTAAAAGCAAAAAATATCTCATCATTGTGAAGTATGCTTATGTAATAACCTTATAAAAATAACTCTTATAAAATATCCTCTCAGACAAGACAAATATCATAAAATAATCTCATGATGAGTGGTATCAGAGCCATAAGGTTGGATGCAGTAATAGCCCTCATAACTCATCCTCATAACTCATAACATATAATATGATATATAAAGACAGATTCCGCTGTATGAAAGGTTAGGTCCCTTGTTTGGGGGAAGATTGTTGGGATACAAAAAAGTATCACATTGATAAAATAAAAAAAAATAAAAAAACTTATAAAACACACATACTCCAATTTTAGAGAAGCCTTCTGGGTGATGATCAAAAATAAAACTATGAGGACTTAGACTAAAAGCGGACAATATCTCATCATTGTGGAGTATACTTTTATAATAAATTTATAAAAATAATTCTCATAAAATATTCTCTCAAACACATACTATAAAATAACTTCATCACCAAAATATGTCTTTCTAATTAAATAGTTGACTGATGATCAAGTGAAAATAAATTTAATGTTATTAGTTAATTAAAGATTATTTGTAATCTCAATATCCTAAACAAACTTATTCAGTTTCACACGCAAATTAAGGATACTAACGAAAACCTCTATTATATGTTACGAGAAACGGTTTTATTCTAGTGAATCCAAAGAACGAGTTAAACCAGAGTTTCTTGTTTACAAATATATAAATCCCATCAATGAATGCCTCAATAAATATACTTTATTTATATTATTATTAAATTTATTTAGTTTATTAGTATTAATTATCAACTCCTAAATATTAAATACAAATATTTATATAAGATGAAAGTATTTTTAGAAATTTTTCTTCGATAAAAAAGTTTATACAAATTTCTAAAAATTTTTTTTATCTAATTCAATTTTTATTTATTATAATTATTTATGAATCAAATATTAATATTTTACAATAGAGGAGAGTTCAAACGATATCTGTGTAATTTTTACTAAGTATTACACCGCTCAATAACTTTACATTAAATTTAAATTTTATAAATTTGAATTATAACTTTATATCACTTTATATATTTATATCAAATTTTATTAAAATTGAACAACAACTTAAAGGTAACCAAAGTATTCATATTTTATTATATTTTGAAATGTATATATTACATCAATATTGTTCTATAAGAATGAAGTATCAAATCATTTTTGATTAATATAAAATTTTGCATATATGACTTAAGAGTAAAGAACTTTCAATCTAATAATTAGATTTATAAAATTCACATTTAATATAAAATTATTGAATGATATAATACTTACTAAAAGTTACGCCGACATCATTTGAACCTCCTCTTTAAAATAAATCATCAATAACGGTAAATAATTTTTTTTGTTATAATATAAATTATTTATCATAAATTTAAAATATAATTTGTATGTTTAAAAATATTAATGTATATTAATTTTAAATATAATATATATTTAAACATGATAATATTTATTTATATATAAAATTTATTATAAATCTTAATTATAATTAATATAATAAACATATTTATGTATTGCTACGAATAAAATATTAGTTAAAATTGATTCGCCACTTCATCGATTAGATTTTTCCTCACAGGCAAATTCACATACTTAAAACGAAATGAAAACTAGATCGAGCAAATCCTGAAAAACCAGATAATGAGTAGCATGTTTTATTCGGTAATATGAACTTCCAATTTAAACACTATTTGATGGAAATTCGAGCCACTCATTTTTGCCTCTGCAGCATTAGCTTCTCACACTGGCTTCCCCATTTTCATTAGCAAGAGCTTCCTCCGGTTTCTCACTTTCCATCTCAGCCACGTCATCAGGTTTCTCTTCCTGCAAACACTCACGCGAAAATTCCTCACTAAAGATGGAAAAAAAAGTCAAAATTTTCATATATACACTCTTCCAAAGAAAAGAAACGTTTATTCATCGGAATTCTTACAGTAACGGCATCAGGGACATCTTCGTCGTCCAAATGCACAATCTCGGTAGGCATCTAAAAATATAGGTTAATATTTCAAAATGAATCCTGAATAAATATATATATATATAAATAGATAAATAGATGCAACTTAGCACTTACCACCACAGTTGGAAAAGTAAATTCCACTTGAAAATCCATTTCAGTAAGATCCTGTATTATGTGTATGAATTAACACAAAATGAGTACTGAGAAAAAGTATATAATATATGTATGAATTACCCAGATATATATGATGCATGTAAAATTTTAAAAATGGAAAATAAAAAAATAAAAATCAAAGAAGTAGCTTATGCATGTACAAAGTGAAAAGGATGGATGTCTTCAATGTTAGGGGTTCCAGGAGGAGAAGGGGTATCCTCCCTTGCGAGGAATGGAGAAGGAGGAGGAGAAGGAGGTTGGAGTGGGTTGTTGTTATATGCCATGAAAATGGAGTATAATAGCTACTAGCTGATGTTGGTGTGTGTTGGGGTTGAAAGTGTGTTTGGTATTTTATACTAACAAGAGTGATGATACGTGGACACTTTTAATATTTTTTTATTATAACTATGTTCACACTTATACTTCTCTTTCTTCATTCATTTTTTTCTTTCTAGATATTAAGTAGGATTGGTGTTTATAATTTCCTTATTTGAAATGTGTGTATCACCCTAATTGAGATGGAAAAAAGTCTCACTAGTTTAGTTTAGAATAGAATAGAGGAGTTTTATAGTGAAGCGAAATTAGGAGAAAAATAAAAGATGATAAATATAAGAAAAAAAACTAGTAATGTAATTCTTTATATAGTATTTTGTTGGAAGGAAATTGAATAAAGAAGAGAAAGTTTTATAACCTTTTATTGTTTAATTCAATTTTTAAGATGGAAAAAAGACATATATGAAAGAGAGTAAATTTTTTTCTCACCTAATTTTAGTTCTCTTCTAATATAAGGAGGATTTGGAAAGTGAAAAGAATATTTAAAATATTTTTAGTATAATATTTAAAATATTTTTCCTTTTATTTTTGAATTCAAAATTATAAAAATATAAAAGTAAATTAATTTTTAAGAATTCTCATATTCCATAGTAAACCAAATATGAAAAGATTTATTTTTCCTTCCTTTTATTAAAATATCTCCCCTTACATCCAATGACACATTTAGAAAATTTGTTAAATCGGGAAAATAAAATATTTTATAATATTTTTTATTAAAAATATAATAATTTTTTAGAAAAAGTATACTTTTGTGATAAAAAAATTTAATATATCTATTTTTTATAAATTAAAATTTTCTCATAAATCGAGGAACAATTTCTTCTTTTTCTTTTTCTGTCAGATATTATATTTAAGTGTGACTTTATAATTTTTAGTGACTTATTTAACATTAGAAGAAAAAATGGTATAAATTATTAACATAAAGATAATATAATTACTATTATTTTCTTTTGTATCTCTTCTAAAGTTCTACATTTATTTATAAAAAAATATTTTACGAGAACAATGCCTATTTTTTTATAAGAGTAAATTTATTTTTTTATTAAATATATTTAAGTAAAACAATAAAAACTTTGTGTGGTAATTATTCTCATTCCTCTTAATTTAGGCTCTTTCCTACCAACTCTCTTACCAACACACATTATACATATACAAAATCAAAAGGGTTAAAAATTAAATATAAAAAAATTGAAAAATAACCTATATTTGTAAACTAAATTATGACATCTTTAATGAATAAAGAAGTAATAAATCTTTTTGTCAAAAAATAAAGTATATTATAATAATAATAAAAAAATTAAGGCAATTTTATCATAAAGTGAAAAAATTACATAATAGAATAAAATATAAATAAAATTTTAATATATTTTAACATATTAGATATTATAAAAAAAATAATCATTACAAGAAACATTACATATAGGCATACAAAAAGTCACTTTAGTCTATATTTATATTTTTTAACAATATATTTATAAATTGTATTTATAATATCTGTAAAAATAATTTTTAATGACAAGTATCGTATCTTTATAAAATGTGTGTCATTACTTAACAATTTTTTTTAATAAATTAAAATATAATTTATACATATTATAAAAAGAAAATAATAATATATATAAAAATGAGAAAGTGTAAAATTTTAGTAGAGGCAACTGCCCCACTCCAATATACATAGATCTGTCCCTACTCATATCCTCTTTAAGAAAATAGAATTTATAATCTTGTCTTTTTTCTTCTTTCTTTTACATTAAATCAAACATAGCCTAACATATCTTCTAATAAATCTTTATTATTAATTAAAATTTATTAAAAATTATTTCACTTTTTGTTTAACGAGTCTTAGTCAGTGTTTTAAAAATCGGATCAGACTGGTCGGTCGAACCAGTTGAACCGAGAACCGGTGGTCCAGTCAATTCGAACCTTAAGTTGGATCAGTTATACATTCAACCTATTTCAAATCGGATTGAACCGACCAATTTTTCAGTTCGACCAGTGAACCGATGGGTCAAAACCGGTTCAACCATAAATTTTTTTTAATTTTTTTTAAGGGACCACAAACCGGAAAAATAACAATGAGAATTGAATATTTTAATAGAAAAGCAAAGAGTCTTATTAAACATAACAATGACTAGTTGTTCTAATGTATTTATTTGTAATATATGCAACTTAAATAACTTTTGTAATATATTATTAATTTTAAATTATACATTTAATAATATAATATCTATGTAGATATTACATATATTATTTTGTGATATCATATAATTTATATTTTTAATTTGTATTAATATACAGTTTAATATGTAATTTTTTTTATGTATTTCTTTATACAAAATAAAAATAAAAATAATGTTAAATAAGATAGAAATTGAAATTTAAAATAGGATATGAATTTATTAAAATTTATAACTATAAAATATATTTAACATGAATATTTTTTTAAAAAAATTAATAAAAATTAGGTTATGTAGTTCAATTAGTGACCCACCATTTCAACCTTTGATCTACTAATCCAGTATCCTAACTAGTTTGATGATCGGTCCAATTTTTAAAATTATCGTTTTAGTTATAATTTTTTTAATAAAAATAATAGTATTAGAACCAACATATCAAAGTTTGTATCAATAACATTCTATAAATATAATTTATAATGTATTGTAAAAAAGAAAAAAAAATGTAGAGCATTAAAGTTAGATGTGAAAAAATATAAATTAAATTTACGAGATCATAAATTCAAATTTGTAACTTTTGAACAAAAAATAAAGTAAAGTAAAAGCTCTCTTTTTTTTTTTGCAGGAAAAGAAAAAGTATAAGCTCTTGTTACAAAAGTGAATAAAAAAACTCATTTAATTATATTTTTCTTTCTTTGTGCGTTTCTCATTAATATCATTCATTAAATCTAGTATATTTTTTCTCTTCTTATCCCTCTTTCTTCTATAGAGTGTCTGCATCTCATAAAGATGTTAAATAAAAGAATCTAAATCTTTTCTCTTGTCAAATGTAACCATAGCTCTCCTCAAAATATTGATAACAACTTGTTTTGTTCTTCAAATTTTCAACGTTTAAATTAGTGCTAAGGTCATCATCGGTTACAGTTGTATATTTTTTTTATGTTTCTTTCCACCTCTTCAAACTTCTTTTCCCCTCCCTTCGCTAATTTGCATTCTGAAACAATTCGGGTTTAGTTAATTCTAACCAGATATAACCTATGCACGCATGGTGCTTTAAATATTTTCTTCCATCTTTTATATTTCCTCCTATTAAATAAATTGAATAGATTTCATTATATATCCTATTTTAAAATATGAAGTGTATATATGATGTTTATTAATTAAGTTGATGTGATGCATATAAATGCAACTATGCAGAGTTAAAAGTTCTCATTCACGTTAATAGCTTTGAAGTTAGTTTTTTTGTGCACTTTTAAATAATAAGATGTTCAACATTATGATTAATAATAATGTCGTATAAATTGTTATTTCATCAAAAATATTTATGCACGTCTTGCAATAATTCTCCTTTTGGTGTTCCTAACTAAATATTTACAGGATAGTTATAGCAATTTTTAATATTAATGTACTAGTAGGTGAAAGAATTCACTTGTAATAAAATTTGATGATGAAGAATGTTTAATGAACTTACGATAGTCAAAGAAGAAGATAATCATACCCAAAATATTAGTAACAGATTCAAAGTTTAAATTTAAATTTATAGGGATTTTATCTATTAGATAGATAAAGATTTTTTTTATTAGTTAGCTAATAATCTATAACAATTTTTTGCTAAAATAAATCTTTGTTGTAACAAATTTTGTTACAACAGTAGTATATATACACTTGTATACTCATTCATTATAATTAATTAAAATCAATCTCTCTTGATCATCTTCAATTTCTATCTTGGTATCTAGAGTTGCGTTCAATTCCTATGGCAAACTCTGATTCATTTTCCTCATCCAACCTCAAAAATATCATTTCCATTCCCTATCCTGTCAAGTTGGATAGAGGGAATTACAGATTGTGGAAATCATTGGTATTACCATCGCTTAGAGGTCACAATCTTGGTTACATATTTGGCACAACAAAGTGCCCCCAAGAGTTCATCATTGATGAGACTGGCAAAAAGAACAATCCAACTTTTGCATATTGGACTTCAATAGATCAACTACTACTTGGATGGCTCATCAATTCCATGGCCCAAGAGGTTGTAACACAACTACTTCACTATGAAACATCACAACAGATTTGGGAAGATGCCCAAAGTCTAGCTAGAGCCCACACACGATCAAGAATCACTTTCTTGAAAATTTTCATATAGAACCAGAAAATGAGGACTAAAGATGGAAGAGTATCTCACCAAAATGAAAGAAGTTGCTAATAACTTAGCACTTGTTGGCAATTCAGTTTCAACAATGGATTTGATCACTCAAACACTCACGGGCTTAGACAATGATGAATACAACCCAATTGTGGTTCAACTTTCAGACAAAGAGCATTTGACTTGGGTTGAGATGTCAACTTCTTCCCTATGAAAACAGGTTAGAACAAATTGATAACCTATCAAATCTAACTCTAAATCCATCAGCCAATATTGCAACTAGAGGAGATACTAGAAGAGGTAGAAGCAACTCTTTTGGAGGATGGAGAGGAGGACAAATTAATAGAGGTGCAAGAGGAGGCAGAGGTCATGGCAGAGCAACCAAAGACAGAATTATATGCCAAGTTTGTTGTAAACCAAGTCATGCTACAATTCATTACTACCATAGATTTAATAAAAACTATATAGGACAAAATTCTAATGAAAAAAAAATCAGAAAAAAGACAAAGAGCAAAATTACAACTTTAATGCCTACTTAGCTTCATCAAGTACAGTGGAAGATCCTAATTGGTACTTTGACAATGGGGCCAGTAACCATGTCACATATGATCAGAACAAGGTTCAAGAGGTGAATGAAAATGATGGTAAAAGTTTCTTGACTATTGGCAATGGTGCAAATCTTGAAAT